TGTTTGGCCAAAGCTGATGGAATCAGGCTACCTTGATCAGTGGAAAAGCTTTCTGTTGGTGAAAGAGTGAATCATTAACTTCACCTTCCAGTCACATATATGCATCTAGTTCTAAAATTAACTCTGAATGAGGCAGGATTATTCACAGTCATGCAATAGAGGACAGATTCAGACGCCTTTCATTCATAAGCTGTACCTTGCAAAGCTGCTAATGAAGCAGGCGGGAATGAGCGGTGAAGCCATGCACGGCACCAACAGAAAAGACAAAAACAAAAAAAAAAGCAAACACACACGGTCAAATGATCCTCCAAAACACGACAACATGTAACAATGACATGTGAACTCAAGCGGGTGATAAACAGGTGTAACGCACCAGGAGCTCGTGGCGGAAAAGCTTCTGTTGAACCTGCTCCCGCTGTGGCATCCTCCTCCTCTTCCAGCTCGAGGTTCTCCTCTTCACCTGGAGCAAAGATTTTCCTGATGGCAAGGAACACAAACCCGCCCCCGCCCCCCCAAAACACCTGATTCATTGGACTGATAAAGTTTACATATCCCTGTAAGGAAAATATTTAAAGCGTGTGACCCCCTTCACAGACACACTTTTTTTTTAGAGACCTGAAGATAAAATTATCAACGCTTGTGTGTGATTACATGACTCATGTTGATCTATTAGTTATTCTTTTATTGTATTAATTCACAAAAATCTGTAAATCCAGTAATGTTGAGACACAATGACACATGCAGCACGAGCCCAAAGCAGTAATAACACCAGTGATGGATTTTTACCTTAACGGCACCGGCTGAACATCGAATGGAAACTCTTTGTTGTAGGTGAGTACATTTCTAATTACTGTTGAAGAAAAAGGAGTTAGGTTGATTATATCACTATTAAAACATGTCAGAATATCCAGTAAATTGTCCATCAGTGTTTTTCCTTCATAGAGAAAATGTTTCCACAGGCCAGAGCAAAAGGAAAAAAGAAAAATCACCAGATCAACATTTTAAATTCGTCTTTCATTTTCTAAAGTGTAATAAACATTTGTTTGCAAAATGCCCAGAAATGCATGTAGAGTTCTGTCAAATAAGGCCACACAGTTTCAGCACCTTTACTGTACACACACCAATCATGTTTTTCTGCAGAGTCGCCCCTTAGAGGCCCATTTCGAGCCAGGAAAAAACCCAGTCATACACTTACTGGTTTCCAGTTTCTTCAGGTCTTCTAAGTTGAACTCTTCCTTTGACTGAGTGCACTGAAGAAACCCAGACAAAAGATATGTTCAGTATTTGTTTTTCCTCAGGAAAAAATGTAATTTTTTACAGCGCTGTGCAAAAGTCTTGAGCCATCCCTAATTTATTCATAATGGGAAATAGAAAAGTGTGTAAACATACAGCATACAAGGCAAAAACAACTCTAACGAGCTTGAAAGCCAAGATTTATGATCACTTTTATTCATCATGAACTGACGTCTCTTAGTCATGCTTTCTTATGGTTTCTTTAGGTAGTCTTCAGAAACAGCTCTCCAGGCTTCTTGAATGACATTTACAGCTCTTTCTTGGAAGTTGGTCGTCTTCTGTTCAATGTGAGACGATCTCACACTTATCTCACATTAATGTTGAGGTTCAGGCTCAGGGGAGGTCAATCCATGACTGACAGTGACTCTTTGTGTGTTTCTCTATTCAGGAATACTTTTCCTGCATTGGCAGTGTGTTTGGGCAGAAAAATAAGGCCATTATCAAACACTTTCTGGACGGACCAGAATCTGATTGTACTTTTCTGTGTTCTTATTCCATCGATTTTAACAAGATCCCTAATGCACACTGGCAGAAACGCAGCCCCAAATCATTACGAGGTTTTACAGATGGGTGTAGACACCCACCGCTACACCTCTCTCCTGACCCCTTCTATACTTACCGATGATGATTTGAACCAAAAATGTCAAACTTGGATTCATCACTCCATAAAACCTTTTGGCACTGATTTCGAGTCCAGTTCTTGTTTAATTTGGCATCCCTCAGCCTTTTCTCCCCGTTTCCTTTCCTTAAGAACGCCTTCCTGACAGCCACCCTTCCACTGAGACCATTTCTGATGAGGCTTTGTTGAACAGTACATGGCTCAGCTGAAGGGTCAGATGGATCTGTCAGGTCCGTGTGTCAGGTTTTTGATGGATTTTTTCTGGTTTCTTAAGGCTTTGAAGTACTGTTTTGTATTTTAGGCCTCTCACTTCTTTTCTTCTATACTTGACACTTTTCCTTATCTTATTTTAAGGACACCTTTTCAGTTATAGCTCTTTGGGAATCACTTAGTCCAACAATCACAATTTTATGCCTTTTAAAACTCAAAGTGTCTAAAGATAACATTTTAAATCATTTATTTGCTAAGTTGCCTGTTATGTGTAGATACAAGACCATTTTACCCCTTGAATTAGGTGCCTTTTTATGCTTGAATGAGTCAATGGTTAGTGTTAAGTGACTTAACAAGGAAAAACTTCCCTTTGGAAATGGTCAGGTACAAGGAGTGGACCTGACCATTGGCCAATGTCCAAAGACAAACTTTGAAAGACCTTCAGAAAGCCTGGAAAACTATTGCTCAAGACCACTTTCAAAAGTGTTATATGCATAAGTAAAACTGCCGATGCTCAAATTTTACTTTTATGTAATAACGATGACCTCAGCATCTCTGAAAACCTGGATACGGCCTCCTTTTTGTAGTTACTAATCACGCAGACTCCTATACAAACCTGCAAACTGGCACTTCTCATCTCCAGACATGTTGCAATCTTTGCCAGAGTTTTCTTTAAAAGAAAAGAAAAAAAAACACTCGTTAGTTTAAGTAAAGTGACAGGCACTCCGGTGCAGAAGCTGCAGGCGGATGTAATGATTACCTTCTGCTCTTCGGTGAAGTCTGATGAATTTGTTGACTGGACTTCTTTTTGCAGTTGTCTTGCCAAACTAAACGAACCCACATGAAACACAGTTAGACGCGTTAATGATTCACTGCAAGACCCTACAAGACTCCTATAAGGTAAGGTGTGTGTCTGTGCGCCCCCCTGCGGACAGTAGAAGCCGCTGCAGGGATCTAGATTTTTGCATTGTTAGTGCAGTTTTAAATAAACTATTAACTGGGAGAGAAGCTGGGCGCATTTTAAGGAAATTGCAAAGACAAAGATCTGGTCTGAGAAGCAGAAACCATTCCTCACTCAGCAGATGAAACCCACCCATAACAATGAGAGGGTGTGGCTGACTGTTTCCCAACACTCTGAGGAATACTGGCCCGTTTCTGCATTGCATGACACATAATGAAACAGACTGCTCGCAGCTCCGACCTATTTTCCATGACAGGCTACATGGACGGACTCTCCCTTAAACTCTAAAGTGCTGCTGTGGACAGAGCTAGGATGCATCAGGCAACACATCTGCTCCCCACTGCAACAACTGCCACATCACGTCATGGATGGTAGGGTTTATTTACTGCTCCGAGAGCTGACTGACAGCACACGGGCTAACTTCTTGCACCTACTGTCTCCTACATGTTTCCCCGCAGATTTTAGGGACAGGCGACCCAGAGAAGGGAAAAATAATAATTTAAAAAAAAAGAAGAAGAAGCACAGCGCCCGGACTGCGTTCGGGCTAAACCAGCGCTGTGGACACACAGGACACACATGTTGAATGCAACTTACATTTGGTACTCATCTATAGCCTCCACTAATTGTCCCCACGAGTCAAAGTCTGTGCCTTTCTTAAAACTGGCGTGCCATTTCTGAATAGTCTTGTTGACATCAGACATGTTGGCGGGGCGGATACTCGCGGCGCTCTCAGGGCAGCATAGCCGAGGAGGAGATTCATCTACGGGGCTTCAGTGGCAGCGGAGTCGTCGGCCAGGTCATCTGGTGTCCAGAGGCGCGCGGATAGACCGGTGACACTCCGACCAAGCCCTTTCTGCCTGCTCACCCTAATATCAGCGCATCCGCAGGAGAAAGGAAGTCCCGCCTGGAGCTCGGGGTGCGCGCGTTTCGGGACTCGGGGTCGCCCGAATGGACGAAGAGCACCGCGGCGCGTTTGAGGTTTGAGTGCTGCGGGGAGAAAGAAGAGCTATTTTATTTAAAGGTGCAGGGATTTTTAACAACTGTATACGCCAGCAACAGTTACGAAGCAGGACTACAGTTAAAATACTGCAAAGTAACAGTGTTCATGTTTGGCTGTTTGGGGTTTTTTTTTTTTTTTTTGATGTATTCTCCACTTTTCCTTTTCTTTTTTTTCTTTTATTTTTAGGTATAAGGATCTTTCACTACACTGTTTTGAATTTTAAAAAACAGTAAACACAAGCTCCAACGAAAACCCCCCCAAAGAATATTTATAATAAAATACTATATGATTGTGACTGTTTTATTTATATAGCACCATTCCTTACACTTATACTCAATGTGCTTACCAAGCGATCAAAACAAGATAAATCATAGACGTCTACAGTGTCTTAAGGCAATACAAAATGCAAGCTAACGAACACAAACGTATTATATGTAGGAATAATTAAAAGGTTTCAAGTTAAACATGTGTTATTACAACACTAACAGGGTCCACATGATTACTTTTTATTATAAAATTTAAAAGTGTTATTTCATTTATTTATTTTTTTATTTATTTGTCTTGATGGTTGCTCAGTCATGCAGGCAATGAAATCCCAGACTTTATTAGCAACTCTATAAACAGTATATTCGCATTATGTGAATACACTGTTTAGAATGAAACCTGCAGTCAGCTAAGATTGAAGTTACTTGAATGAGTGACGAAACGTTTCCCGCACGTAAAACTCTACGTCTTGTTTTCTCCCTACTGTAATATGTTCATGGACACCGTAATATTTCTACTTTGGGTCTGCAAAAGCTGAATAAATTTTGAATTAATAAAAAAAAAAACTAAATGATTTTAGAGGGATCCAAGTGATTCATGGGCTGTCCAAAGATAAGCGTTGAAGCACAGCTGTGGCCTTTATTTTGAAAGAAATCGAAATGTCTTCCGGTTTCTCCCAGTATGTCGGGATGTGGCGGAGGAGCTGAAACAGCGCAGCTAGTGGTGTCCTTTCGGACGACTTGGCCGCTGACAGAATGAGATAAGATGGATAAAGAGACGGCGGCGGATTGCTGTGCGGCTGAAGACGATGAATATCCGGACTCGGAGGTTTTTTGTCTGATGAGAGTCGGGAGGAACTCAGACTGGCTTCGCTTGTTCGAAAACACAGAGGTGCAGCTTGCTAATGTTAGCTAACGTGCTATATTTATACTAACATGAAGCTTGCTGAAGTTCACGGCAGATTCCAGTTTACATGTTGGGGGAACATTACCCCCAATTTATGGTTAATAATTAAGAAGTGTTTTAAGCTAAAGAGTGTCCCTGTCTGTTTTTATAAAACCGGAGAGATGCAGACTGGAGTTAACTAACATGTTTATTTTTGGCTGTGCAGATCACCATTGGACGTGGTGTGGATGTAACCTACCAACTACTGTCTCCCACCTGTCCCCTAATGATCTCCAGACTGCACTGCACTTTCAGGCAAAGTGAAGACGGCCACTGGACAGTGACAGACAAGAAGGTGACAACGAGCTTTATTGTGAAATATATTTTACAGCTGTGCTAGAGGTCTTTGGTACAAGTCCTGTGCAGGGATGGGCAGCACTTTCTCTAAGGGAGGCATGCTGACGTGGATAAAGTAAATAGAGCCACACGAAATTAAAACATGATGCGCATATTACTAAATTATGCCAAACCCAATTAGTTTGCGAATATCTAAAAGCTAAGAATGGGTTCATGTTTTAAAACCCACCAGTATTATGTTGGCATTTGGTGAAGTTTTGAGTCAGTCTGGTTTACTGTGACATAAAGCCATAAATACAGTTGAGCATCAGCATTGTCAACTTTTTTATGTATTTATGTGTTCATCACAAAAAAAGGATGTCAGGGAATGCCAATTTTGCCCATTTGTGTTGTAGGAAGTTTATGTTATTCTGTATATCTTTTCGTGGTATTTATCTGTCACGCACATCTTTATATAATAACGGCAAAATAAGTATTGCAACAAGTCAAACTGTGCAACAGATACCACAAATTATACATAGACAAATAGCAAAAGTTTCAAACCCTTATAACTCTAGAAACATGAGATGAAGGGTGAACATCAATACCATACTAATCATATACTGTTTTATGTTCTGAGGTATACTAAAATGCAGAAGGCCAAAGGTTCAGGACCTTCAACAGCAACATCAAATCACATTAGATGTTAGGCATTGAAAATGTGAAATAGATTAAGTTAAACTGCCAATATTTTATCATTACTATTTAATGAACATTTCCCCAAAGATTGTTAAGACAGTGTGCATCCTTATGCAAACTTTCCATGCTATGGTATTTTACTTGTAGTGTAAATTTCTTCATCTGCAGTTTTGTCTTTTTCTTCCTTACTCGTGAATGAAATCTAGTCTGTTTTGGCCTTTAACAAGTGTGTTAAAGTCCGGTTCACTGTCAGCACTAAGGTGGGATTTGATAAACTTCATTAATAAGAATGTCTTTTTACGTATGAAGTTAGATTCAAAGAGGACCAACATCTTCTGTGCATGCCTCCTTATGTGTTGAAAGTTCTCCTTTTTGAGAGAAGAATTCAAATCCAGCGGTGATACTGACTCGAAGTTCTCTGCAGTAGGGAATCAAAAGTGCAACAAGCATCAGTAATGTGTTCATTTTTAGCACTGACTTATGCAACACATCCTGTGGTGTACAATACAATGGAAAAATACCAGTTCCAGTTATGGGTTCATTTCAGTGTCTTTATCTGGGATCTGCTTAAAAAGTCCAAAATTTCTCTCTGTAAGCTCTCGGTTGTAACACCTGTCGGTTTGTTCCATTTCAGCCTCAGCCTATCCGCGTGCAGTTCATGAATAAATCTCTGTCTTTCATACTTGCTTTCATTTTGCTTTCTGAACTCAACTATGTAGTCTTTGGTAATCTCATGTACAAAAATTAGTAACTGCTCTGTCGCCCATCCCTTTTGTATGCGTCTCTGAATGAAGCTGTGGTGGGGAACGTTAACGTGGACATGACCTACAGTCTGAACGGCAGAATGACATCATTGTAAAATGTTGCATGTTTGAAAAGAGTTTCAGTGTCCTGGACACGAAGGAGTGGAATCACCTGCTGAGACGGCTCCTGAAATTGTTTCGGTGTGAGGAAATATCCTTGAACAGTTTACTCTCCACCATGTGTAAATGTCTTGGAGACAGGATGTTTAAGTAGTGTAGGCTTGTTGTGCGAACATCCCGTACAAGACACATGGACTACCTTCGTGACATCTGTCGACCACCTCTGTCATGCCACCACATGAAAATGACTCCTGTCTCCCAGCTGGGATACGGCTCTGGGTCACACCAGATGCTACAAAGTCCATGAAATTTAGTGGGTCACTTAATATTTGCATGTGTGGCCTTTCAGCTGTGTGATGAGTTTGTATTTATCCATAAATGCCTTTTTACAGTCCTGTTATTTCCAGCAAATGGCAATATGTCTGAGCTTAAGTTTGGGCATTTGTGACTTTAAAGTACATTTAAATTCTCAAGTTAATTCAGTTTTAAATATGTTTCTGTACCAGTGTATTATATTGGTTCTGTTTTTTTTCCTTAGAGTCTTAATGGTGTTTGGGTGAATGGAACTCGTCTGCCTTCCGATGAAGCCCATCCGGTCAGGCTCGGAGACTCCATACAGCTCGGAGTTCCTGTAATTGGAAACAAAGCAGAGTTTGACTATGTCGTCGTCCAGAAGCCCCTCAGAGACATTAAACGCTTCCTGGCAAAGAAACTGGTAGAGCGAGTAACTTCAAAATCTGCCCACATATCCAAGAAGCCCAAGAGGAAATTGACCATGGAAGAAGTGGAGCCATCTACCTCGAAGCCCAAACTCTACCGCTGCTCTTCTGCAGACAAGTCCTTGGCAGTGCCCTGCCCTTTATCTCCGCTAAAAGGTCAGCAGCGACTCAGTCACATAAAGCCAGAGGGAACCAGACCTGGCAGAGATGACCGTCAAGCAGAACGACCTTCAGATGGCTCCAGTGCTACCCGTGACTTTGACAACTTGCAAATGTAAGCCAGAGTAACAGCAAGATAAGAAACAAATGTACCCAGTAATAAAAGAATGAGTGAAAAATACTACTCTGAAGTTTTATTTTCCTTGTTTATTGTCTGCAGGTACAGTCAGAACATTCTGCTCTTAAGGGAGCAGGTGGATAACACCCAGAGGCAGGTCGCCTCCCTGGAGGGGGAGCCCCGACAGGCTGACCCGCTCAGAGAGGAGCAGGTCAGGGAGCTGCGGGGTCAACTAGATACACTCAGAGCTAAAATGCACAGGATGGAGACATTAGAGAAGTCTTTTAGTGAGACTAAAAGGCTGCTAGAGGCGAGTTGTTTTTTGTTTTGTTTTGTTGTAGTGTCTTTTATGTACAGGAGTTCCTTCATTAGCACCCATTTTAAAAATAGCCTCTGTTTGTTGTCCTGTTGTTACTTTTTTTTAAAAGCTCCTACAAGTGACAGTTCATGCTTGATTGGCACTGCTTTGTAAGATGCTATTTTAAATCAAATCTGTCATTAAATTTTAGTTATTTGACAGCCAGCAGGCCTCTGGTGTGAGTGTCTCTGACCAAACAGTCAGAAACAGACTCATAAGGGTGGCCTGAGGGGCTGACGTCCTCCGCTGAGGGCTGTGCTCACTGCCCTGCGCTGTGGTGCCCGATTGGGATTAGCTATAGAATACCAGAACTGGTAGGTCTCTCCTTTTCACGGATGAGAGCAGTTCACCCAAAGCTCGAATGATAGACACTGGAAAATGTTGTGCTGCCTGTAACATTGTTTAGCACAACTGATTTGGTGTTGCGTTCATGATGGTCTGTGGAGGCATATCCATTGAGGAACATAGAGGCCTCTACGCTCACATAGAGGGTAAATACAGCTCTGTGTGAAAGTAGATGCACAGATATTGGGATGATATGCTGATACGCTTTCAGCATGTTTCATGGTGATGAGCAGTTCTACAGCAGATGGACAAAAACTAGTCTTGGATGTTTTTCCCACTGTTATTAGTGTTATTATATTTTATCATGATTATATGTGAGTATGCATTCATATTGGGGGCTTATGTGTCTTTCTATTCCTCTGCAAAGTGCTCTGAATTTCCTCGTGTCTGAATGGTGCTGTACAAATAAATCCAACTTGACTTGTTGCAATAGCACCACACTCAAATTCAGTGAGCTCTCTTGAAAGGTCCATTCTTTCACAAATACCAAAGATTAAGCAGTGTAGGCCCAGTACTTTTGCACCTATAATCCAAAGAATACAATTTTTGCATAAATAATTGCAAAACTCAAAATATTCTCTTTCACCCTTTTATGCTTGTAGGAGCAGAAAACGCAGCAACAAGAGGAGCTTTTAAAAAAGCAGCTTGAAGAGGCCCTGCAAGAAGTATGTCGGATCAAACTAATTTGTGTGCAGTAGCTGTTATTATTTAGAGTGCTTGCATTTTGGTAAAGCAGAATACATTTTAATATGTGAATTTGTTTTCCACAAATCCTTAGCAAAAGAAAGTGATAGGTGAACTTGCGCTCTCCCGACAAGGCTTTGAAGAGATTCTCTTGGCCAAAAACAAGGAGTTGGAGGTGACAAAGGTATATTTAATTAATGCGTTTATTTTTTTCCCTTCACATATTTCCACCTGATTTTGCTTTCGAGGCTTCACTCCATTTCATCTGTTACAGGAGGAAAAGGAAAAGGCAAGAGCCCAAAAAGAGGAAGTAGTTACACAAGTGACCGAAGTGCTGGAGAATGAGCTTCAGTGCATCATCTGCTCAGAGCTCTTCATTGAGGTAGAGCTGATTACAGTTTAAAAGCAATTATTATGAAGCTTATTATACGTTGTTTTGTGTTTGAGCTGATTTGTATACTAGACGCCTCTAAATGTCATCACCTTGGTTGATCCCCTGCAGGCCGTCATTCTGAACTGCGCTCATAGCTTCTGCTGTTACTGCATCAATCAGTGGCGCAAAAAGAAAGATGAGTGTCCCATCTGCCGGCAGGCCATCCAGTCTCAGACCCGCTGTCTGGCGCTGGACAACTGCATCGACCGTATGGTGGAAAACCTGAGCCTGGACATGAAGGCGAGGCGGCAGACCCTCATCTCTGAGAGGAAAGGTGAGAGGTGCGTTAACAGTGGTGTCCTACATCAAATACAGTCAGAGATGCATGCGTGGCATTATGACGTCTGCTTTCACTTACAAACACAAACCACTCAGAGTAAGTTTTCCTTGTTTCAGATAAGCGAGCTGTTGACCATGAAGTCATCAGATCAGGTCAGTGGAAAGCAGTGAAATGTTTCTTTGATGCTGTTGAGTCGGTCGGGTTATTCAACGGGGAGGAGTTCAGTAGTGTGTCATCTGTGGGTGTCTGTGGATTTATATGCTGATGTCACTTTTTAGTTCATAGTGAAAAATAAAACTTTGTTCAGTCCTATGAAAAACTAAGTGTACCCCCATGATTCAGTAGCTTATAGCTTGTAGTCATTTAGCAGCAATAACTTGAAGTAACCATTTTCTGTAAGACTTTAAGTCTCTCACGTTGTGGAGGAATTTTGACCCACTGTTCTTTACAGTGTTGTTAAGTTTATTGAGGTTCGTGGGTATTTGTTTATCCAAAACTCTCTTAATGTCCCACTGTAACATTTCAGTTGTTTAGGTTTGGACTTTGGGCTATTGCACCTTAATTGTTCTTTTTCAGATACAGTTTGTTGTAGTTTGCTGCTGTGCTTGTGATCATTGCTTGTTGCATGACTCAGTTTCAGCCAAGCATTAGCTGTCAAAAAATGGCTTCGTATTTCACTCTCGATTGCCTTGGTACACGGAGGATTCATGGTCGACTCAAAGACTGCAGGGTGTCCAGGTCCCGTAGCTCTAAAACAACCCCAAATCATCACCCTATAGCACCAGGTGGGGTTGTGATGAGGAGAGGTGGATTTTTCAAACACAAGATGGCAGCACAATGAAGCATTTTCTCTGTATTAAAATTGCAAAAAAAATTGAGCTTTCCTACAGAAGGAGCTACAACATTATGTATAGTTGAGTTAGTGTATTAATGTGCGGTATAGTGGTGGTGAAAATGAGCATCGTCTGGTCCTGATGTTGGTGGTTTTAGTTTTCATCAGATTTGTTTCCAATTTGAAAGACAGAGCAATGCTGATCTCATCTTTTTAAAGTCTGACAAAGAGCTTGAGAGTCCCTCGTGAAATGTTTGCAAAATGCAACTTTTTGCCTTTTTGTGTTTCACAGCAGCTGAATCTGCAGAGGTGATGGTGATCCCCGATGATGACAGTAGCAGCAACAGCAACAGCGACAGCAACAGTGACAGCAACAGCGATAGCAGCATGGTGTCCATAGATAGCAGCCTCAGCTCCGTGTTGTCTGTGGACACGGACAGTAGCATCCATTTGGAGTCCAGCTCTCCGTACAGCGGATACTCTGATGACAGTTCTGATGAAGATGAGGATTAGCCCCTTTTTCTCCTCTGGGCTGTAATATGGAATTAGACTTTTCTGCTGTTGAGTTTCGCTTTTCCATGGAATTTTCCCGGGACATTTAGGATAGAGGATGCAAAGTTTGGTCCAGGGAGGTTTATGTTTAGTTATTTTTTTTGTAAAATAATCATTTGTGTTGTCTTTATTTTCAACTAAATGAATAAAGTTTATTCATATGCATTTCAAGTTCAATTTGTGTTTCCTTATATTTCAAGTAAACCTGGGAATTCAAACTTTTGTCAGTGGCACAGAAATCCTGCGTGTGTTTGGTGATACACGTTTTACTTCTTTAACATTTACTGGCCCAGGTAACTAAAAATTCTGCTGTGTTTTGAAAGTCGCCACCTTGGTGTTAAGTTACATTCGCAAACAGCTTCAGAGTTCAAACAATGTGTTTAAACAACAAATGTTTAAAGCTGGTACCACAGCAACATCAGTCCCTTATGACCAGACAACTATTGTGTTATCAAAAGCAGATAAAGGCAGAAAAAGGGGATCTAGTGGCTCTTTTATGCTTTGGAAAAGGGATGTTTAATTAGATTAGAATAGAAATATCCCTTATTGTCCCTCATTGGGGAAATTCAGGTGGTCCAGCAGCAAAGTGATAGGCAGATGGAGCATTCAGATTAAAAAAAAAAAAAAAAAACTATTCACAACATAATGACAAAAAATACTGTGGAGTTATTAAGTTATTTTAAAAAATCCATCTTGTATGGTCCCTCTGTGCCTGCCTGGCTTCTTTATGGGTACTCCGGCTTCTTCCCCCTGTCCAAAGAAATGCATGTTATCTTAATTGGCTGACTGTGAATGGTGGTCTGTCTCTCTATGTTAGTCTCGGGATTGGCTGACAACCTATCAGGACCCTGCCTTTCAAGTGGGATAGAGTCCAGCCCCCTGTGACCCTGAATTGGATAAGGGGAAGAGAATGGATATATACGGATGGATATAAATCTCCTATGATGAAATATTTCTATGCTGATGGGCTGCAGCACAGTTTATAATGTGGTAATGCTGTAATAGTAACACTTTCCAGAGCTACTCTCATTTATTATAGCCTGCCATGGTTTCTGGCTGTGAGTCAGGGATTAGAAATCAGGAGAAGATCTGCTAACTGAACCCCAGTAAACTGAATCTTATATAGAAGTGTTGAGATCAAACATAATCTCCTTCGTCAGCTTTGTTGGTTCAGTTTGTTTTTCCATTAAAAGAAAAAGAGGTTAAAGCACATCAATGCTGGTTACCTAGCATAAATCCATTAAGCTTTTTGTTCTTCAGTTGGAAAACATCCTCCTGCATTTAATAGGTTAACAAAACTAACAAGTCTCAGTGTGTTAGAAAAAATAAAGGCAACATGTTTTTAAAACGACATACTGTCATTTGTTTTCTGTGGCTCCCTGCCTTCAATTCATGCCCTGAGTCACCTGGGAGTCGCCCTGCCTTGCAGACAGGCTGTGGAGCTGGGAGGCTTGCAGAAAAGTCTGGCAGCACTCCACAGTTTACCTCAGCTCTCACTGCTTCAGCCTCATATAAACAAACAACTGAATGACTTCAAGTCTTAACATAGTGTGGGAATTTTCAGTAGCTTCGCATGATTCATAGTTGCTGAGATTATGTTTCTTTTTTTAAAATTAGGATGTTTACATGGGCTGTTGAAGCGCACAGGGCAATATTTAAAGGGCACCACTTCCAAAAGGCTTTATTGTCATCATGCCCCTTGACCATTAGAGCTGTCATCTGAAAAAGATCATGAGATCATGAGTTACTTCACAATGTTCTAAATCTACCAGCGGTGGGCGTCACATTTAAAAATAGATTTCCATCTTGGAAAGAAGCACTTTATTTTGCTAAATCCTTCTATCCTTTAGTAATTAGACACACGCTCTGTTGCCTGGTAACTAATGCAACAGCTCCTTGGGATCTGAAAGAAAATGAAAGAGAGATGGCACCGGCTGCTCCGGTGCTAATGCACACAGTCCTCAGACTGCAGACAGACAGCTTTGATCCTGTGTTAACTCCATGGCCTGGCTTTGGTTGAGGTCTTAATTGCACTATAATCACTTCATCTATCTAATGCTCCTGAACTTAATCACTTATTATCCCTGAGAAACAGCAATTATTCAGGAAGATGTATAAGCAAATATCCTGCCGCGCTGCACTATTTATTAGGGGGGAAAAGGTTGATTTCAATGTAAATATTCACACATTCTTAAATTAATTATTATTATATCTTAAAAATAAAATACTTACATTGCCAGAAAGTAAAAGTAAAAGTACCCAGGCATGTTATTCTTTCTTTAGCATCTTCTGATTCGATACCTCTGGCAAACAGTAGGGTTGAATAGCTGGTTGGTTTTTCCCATTTCTCTTGTTTGCTTCATGCCAAAACATCAGAGATGCCACTTTGATCAGTAAACATGTGCACCTCTTATGTGGTGCAGTGACAACCCCTCCCTTCGAACACTGTGATTCACTCCACAGAGAGCACTGGGACAGCAGCCCACAGAGTGAGTTTGCCTTCTGTGCTGTGGATGCCTGATGTCACGCCAGTCCATTAAAGCCGGAGTACGAGGGACGCGTGTGTCTGTCAGACCGCGTTACACGAGGACGACAGTGATGGACTGCCTCGGGGCTACAGTTGGAGCCTCTCGTTCCTCCATCCGAGCCTCCATCCGACTCCTGGAAGCAACCTCACGATGCCAGTAACAGCTATCTAACTGTTACTCAGTCACGCTCTCTCTGCCCAAGCATATGGGGAGCAGAGTCAGGATTGCAGCATCATGTACCTGCTTTCATCCATGCTTGAATGTTACACAACTGATGAAAGCTGATGAAGTCCACAGATGATTAATTCAAGGAACAAATTTATCCTGCATCTACTTGGTATTTGATTTGGGCATTTTAAAGCAAAGATTCACACAAATGTATGAAATTAAGTGTTACATCTTTCCACTGCATCAAAGCAGCAAGTCTACACACTCTCGTTCCGTCTTTACTATGCTACAATGCTTTTCAGACTATGAAAAAATGCTCTAAGTGTAATTTGTGGCTTATGTGATAACAGTGGTGTCAAATTCAAACATCTCATTCTCTCAGCTCCTACAGCCGACTCTAAAATTTGTGACTCCATCTCTATCCATATAAAATAACTTGGCTTTAAATGATGTTTTGCTTAATAACAACCATGAGTCTCTTAAGGTAGTATTTACAGATTTCTCACCTCCTACACAGTAGCCTTGCGCCTGTTTTGTGTTGCTTGTGAGACAGATGGATCCACTCCAGTGTGCTCTTTTCCAAAAGGCCCATGGTCCAGACCCAAGGTCCATCTGGCAGTTTGGTGGCATCTGAGTGTTTCACAGCATGATCACTGCTTCCTCAGATGCAAACCTAAACACAAAGCACTCGTTTCTCTGTGAAAATAAAGCTGTGGTTGTATAAATACTGGATGTTATTTAAACATGCGATTTGTTCCAGATAGCTTTGATTCCCAAATTAAGCAACTTATGATTGTACTCTTCTTCTCTTTCTACAGCTCATTGTTATTATTATTAATATTAATATTAGTAGTAGTAGTAGTGGTAGTAGTAATACTATAGCTTGTCATTGTCTGTCTTGTGTATTTAAGAAAAACTGTTTCATTTCATGAAACTCGGAAATTTGTTTTCCCGAACCGGTGACTCACAAAAATGAAAATGATTTCCATGTGAAATGCGTATTTCCATGTGTCTTACTAAATTTTGTATTTATTTATTTTTTGTCTCCTAAACACAGCAGTAAACAGTATAAACATTACGTTTATACGTACATCGAGGTATCGGTCAACATTCAGAGTAAAAACTCAAATTTCCCAGAGACTTTAAAGTAAACTCACTGCGTTCCGTTCCCATGGGAACAGATGAACTCTAAACCAGTACTGCAGGTATGTTAGCATGTATACGACAAGGATTAGGCTGTGTATATCTAACTGAATGACATAAAACAAATATTAAATAGCTCCGTGAAGAAGTTTTTCTTCGATAGCTATAACAGTGGTGGGACTACATGCTCTTAAGCTAACTATGTAAGATACCGTATTGGTCAGAAGCTAGCAACTTCTGCCCAACTTCAAAAGCAACTCAATAGCCCAATAGCTGAGCTAGTTAGACTCACCATATAACTACAATTGAAAATATAATATCTGTCTATGAAGGAAACTTTAAATGTGTGATTTATTTATTGACTTATTCTTTTTTATTATTCATTATTTATTTATTTATTTTTTTAGTCCACTTCTGGCACTTATTTTGTAAAATTACTGTAATAACTTTATTCGAACATTGTTAGGAAATAAAAACTGCACGTAATCGCAAAATGTAATCAAAGTAAGTGAGTTCGTTAACTGAATTTAAATTAAGCTGATGCAGTTCATAAATTATTATTTTATTTAGGGGGGAAAGCTATTTGAACCTACCTGGCCTGCCTGCCACCCCGTTTGTTAAATTATTATTTTAACCACATTTTCAGAAAGCTGAGTTCAATTTTCTATTCACACCCAGGACTGATCACTGCAGTGATCATTGTAGTAGACTAAAAGACCACAAAAAGTAACACACCATGCCACGGTTGAAAAAAGCTGTTGAGAAACAAAGTCATTGAGATCTATCAGTCAATGACAAAGCAGTTTCTAAGGCTTTGGGACTCCAACAAACCATGGTGAGAGCCATTATCCACAAATAGACAAAACTCGGAATGGCGATGAACCTTCCCAGGAGTTGCCGCCATAGCAAAGTTACTCCAAGAGGACAGTGACGACTCATTCCAAGAGTTCCAAGGAGAAAACCCCCGCTAACAAAAACGACACAAAGGCTCGTCTCGCATTTGCCAAAAAATACCTTGATGATCCCCAAGACTTTTGGGAAAATATTCATCCAAAATTAGGGTCCAAATTTATCCACACTGATGTGAAAGACTCATTGCCAGTTACTGCAAATGCTTCATTATAGTTCTTGCTTCCAAGGGTTGCATAACCAGGTATTAGATTTTTCACATCACCAGGCTATTTGTAAGGTGATGGGCCAGATAGATTTAAATAGCTTTTTCCCTTAATAAATGAAATGATCATTTAAAAACTACATTTTGTATTTACTCAGGCTATCTTTGTCTAATGTTAAACTTAGTTTGATGTTCCAAAATATGTAAATGTTACAAATATGCAAAAAAAGTTAGAAATAAGGAAGGGGCCAAATACAGCACTGTATTTTCCCCATACATTTCACTTAAGTGCCGTATCTCTATATTATAATGCCTCTCTTTATCCTCCAGGGCTAATCTTATCCAAAGTGAAGATTGCAGTAACATGAGGAGGATCATTGCTGAAGATCTAGACTGGTCACTGGCTACAGTGTCCAGTTTGTCAAACCTCTCTCTCCAGTGCATAGTGAACAACTTTGAAGGTGGTTTTTAGTATCGCTATTATCCAGAAGTTTATAATCTCACTTGTAATAAAGCTGGAACTTAATTGCAAAATGTATACTTGTTGCAGAAAGGCCAATATATGAAGAGCTTACATCCAGTGAGAAGGACTTCATTCAGAACAGAGTGTCCCTTTCCCTGCCTCTGCATTTCGCAGCCAATGTTTTCCCAGATGGCGTTTACTGGAAGCGATGCTGTGAGCAGAAGTGGAAAGTTTGTGACGTCTCTAATTACGGCGAAAGCTGGAAACGAATGTTTTTTGAAAGGCAGCTGGAGAACATCATTGAACTTTTCGTTCCAGGCATAACAGAGCCAAAGACAGTTCTAGACATGGTCACGCTTTGTAAAGACCACATCAAGAAGCTAAACATTGCTCAGCTTCTGCCACCTGTCAAGGAGCCGCAGACGGAGGATGAGGAGCAAGCATCAGAGCTGACACTTGCAAATGATGATGATAAATCTGGTATGGACCACTTTGACTTTAGGATCTTGCTTGACAAGCTTACAAACCTGGAAGAGCTGCACTTGGTGTACAAAGTCAAATCATGTGGTATGAACTTTGAATGGAGCATGTTTGAGATGACCAACTGGGACTGTGAGTCCCTTGCCAAGGCACTTAAGTCCTGTAAGACATTAAAGGTAAGTATTGCATTAAATTACATAGTACCCATTCCAGATATCCCATGTGAAAAAAGCTCCCGCCCGACTTCGTGCAGAAATAAATCCCCATTCTATGTAAGTTTTTTCAAGCCCTCAAATAACAGGAGTGGGATTGGGTTGAAATTTGGCACCTTATTTTGTTTTCCAGCATTTTGATGCTGCAGGATAGCTGCAGGATATTTTTGGAACAAAAAAGCTCAAAAAGCTACAGCAAAATATCAGTTTTAAAACCCAGGACAAGTGTTGCACTCAGGAGTCAAAATCTACTTGTTGCTCATTGCAGTTGTTTTTCTGTGACCAACTTTGAGCATCAACATCAAAGGATATGTCAAGAGTTCTGCAGAAAAAAATGCAAAAATGTATTTTGTGTAATATTGTAATATTTTAATACTTGCAATCTATCCATTAATTTTTATCTGGGTTCTGGCTGCGGGGGGCAGAAGTCTTAGCAGAGACGCTCAGAGCTCATCTGGGCGGACACCAAGGCATTCTTAAGCAGGCCAAGAAATGTAATCTCTCATGTGAGTAATGGGTCTGCCCTGGCACCTTCTTCTACTAGTGCACACCTAAATACCTTACCTGCATCCATTAGGTATCCTAATCAGATGCCAGAAGCCCCTGACCTGGACTTTCAATGTGGAAGAGTAGCAGCTCTACTCAGAGCTGCTACTCTTCTGACTGAATAACCAAGTTCTATCTATTTCATATTCCAATACTGATGCTCAAAGTTGATTATAGAAGAAATTTTGCTGAACAAAAAAGCTGATAAAAATTTGATCTTATTATAGTTTTTAACTGTTTTTATGTATGGATGTATGTATGGATAGTCAGTTTTTAAGTCTATCCGAACATCTATTCCATCCGTTTTTCTTCTACTTATCCAACAGAAACACAATGCTATGATGGTACATCCCCCCCAAAAAATAAATTTTAATCCGATCTAAAAAGTGCCAAATTTCCAGCATCCACTTTGTACTTTGAGAGCCTGTAGCACTAAAAATGAAGGCAAGCATATTCTGAGGGTGTCCTGATTAATTTTTCAATGTTTACCCATAAAACATTACTTATCTGATCGTGTGGTGCTGATGTGTAAGCATGTTATTTTTTGTGTGTTGCTTGGAAAGACCCATCACAGGTTCTTACTGTTTCCTCAGCTCTTTAGGCTCCATCTAAGCCACCTTGAAGATAAAAAGTGTCGTTTGTTGGTGAAATACCTTTTAGACCACCCCTCCCTGCGCACTCTAGATTTTTCTCACAACGTGATTGGAGACAGCGGAGCCAGAGCCATCGGCAAATTGCTCACAAAGAGCAAGCTGGAGATCCTTAACCTGTATGACAACAATATTGGCGGCCCTGGGGCCAAGGCTATAGCTCATGCCTTGTCCAAGAACACAACTCTTGTGTCCCTCAACCTATGTCTGAACCGTCTGAAGGATGAGGGTGGTCAGGCTATTTGTAAGGCCTTGTTGAACAACAAAACCCTACTTCACCTGCAACTGGGAGCCAATGGGGTAACTTGGCTTACTGTGCTTTCCCTGTCTAGTATGTTAGCACAGAATAACACCCTGAAGAGCATCAATCTCTCCTGCAACACACTGGGTGAGGTAAGAGAGAAATAAGTCTACTTTTCGCAGCAAGGAAAACTGCTAAAATTAGAAACATGCTGTCTCAGAAAGATGCTGAAAAAGAAGTCTATTGTAATTCCTTATTATGTGGCTGTTTTATTATTGAAAGAAAACGGATTGCATTCCTCCGGACTGCAGAATACATTTTATCCAAAATGTATAAATTCTGCACCCTAACCATCCTATGAAATTTGTGTTGACAAAGATAAAATCTACATTAAAACCCTACAGCCCTATATTCAAGAAAGCACTAACAGGAATAGAAAGATTGTGTTTCTGCCTTGTTAGTTAATTCAATCCAGAAGTGAATTTAAAATCCTTGTCCGCACATACAAAGTACATACAAAGTCCTGAATGACCATGCCCCTTCATATCTTGAAGACTTGGCAATATAGTGTATCAGGCGACAGACACACTCTTTAATTTTAAGGTTAGACTTCAAAACTTTCCTTCTTTTCACATGCACATCCAAGTTTCTCTTTTGATTTAACTACGTTGTATTTTGAATCTGGAAGCAAGTGCCACCAAGAAAGTGAATCCTTAAAAGACCATTAACAAACATAACATTTTATGGACAAATTGGGCGTCTTTGCATAAGAATTAAGACATTTGAATAGTTTCCTTTAAATTCAGACATTCAGTTGATACATTTCTTCTTATTGTCTAGAAGTAGATGCAAAATGATTTTATTTGCATAGTGCCCTTCTCTTCATCTCGCCCTCTAGGTCCTCTATGCCATGTAGGAGGCTATTGCCATCGTAGGCTTGTAAAGACCACATCATATCTTTTCATGTAATTTCATGTGTAAAATAATTAACTGATAATTAACTGATTATTCATTTATTAGAACTTTACTCAGCAACAATTAAGGATAGCGTTGAAAACATCCATCTGTCCGAGCTACTAAAGTGTATGCGTTTTTTTATTCTGTGATATTATTTCTTCTTTAATTAGTTTTGACTGCTGTTTAGACCAAAGAAGCTATTTTAATTTAGTCAACATGGCTCATAAACAATATATCAATAAGTTAATAAAACTGATAATTGATTTTAGAAAAAGAAAGAAAATAATTTGTAGTTGCAAAGATATTATTATTATTATTATTA